CAGCTCTGTGGGAAGTTCTGTGCTTGCACCATTCATAAGTGACTTTTTTCTCTACAATGTGAAGGTAGACAAGCGGGTTCCTGAAAGGGAAGAAGACCTTTTGCTCATGGTATGGCAGCAATAGAGCGCTTTGAGTATGCTATTTGTCAACCAGCATTTTTAATAATGCGAGTTGAAAGAGGGGTGTGGTTATAAGTCTGTCAGTTGTGAGGAGACGCTTATGGGATTTGCTGTTGCACCCCGTGCTAGCCTTTTGTCTGAAGTGAGAGCCAGTTCTCACCCCTTATTGTCTCAGAAAGGTCCCCTTGTACTGCATGAACAACTGTAGGAAATAGATGTGAGCGGCTGTATCTGGAGACTATTTCTTTTAACACTTAGCTTAAATAAAATCTCTTGACTTTCCAGTTCAATCCATTATCTCCTCTGTACTCTCTGGATGTGTTTGCTGATGCTTCCCACCGAAGATGCTCGCCAGCACACTGCACTGCCAGGTAACGCCCTTGCTCTGCTCTGTCGGGGTTGTCTCACTTCCCTCCCATCGTTATCTTCAGTAGTACTGTGTGGTCTGAGCAGTACTCATGGACCTGGACATTAATGCATTTTTCCCTAGGAGGCCTGTGTTCAAACTTAGCATAAAACATACCAGTGCAGATTATTTGAGAGTCTCAATACATGAAGCACTTGAAGTATATGAAGCGGTGTATGACAGACAGGCGGAACGTACTGTGCTCTTAGAAATAAATGTAACCCGTTCTGGATTGTGCAGTGGGTTGCCACAAGTCTGTTGTCTAGATGCAAATGGGCATAGTAGCATTGCCCACTATTAAAATCAGAAGAGAATGAGAGGAAAAATGCTGACAAGCTCGTGTGGGTGACATGCTGAAGCTTTTTGGTGTCCTGGGTACCTAAAATAGACCCTCTGAGCAAATTCAGAACTCACCTGAAGTGACCTCTAATGGCTTGATATCTCTGTTGCTATAGCTGAAATTTAGATCTAGTCTGGCCAAGCATTCAGGTATATTTGAGTCTGCACAGTTAGGGTTAATATGCTATTCAGGCACCTTCTGCTGACTAATCCTAAATTAAATTCAAGTTGCTGGCCTTGGAGGTGACTCCTGTTCGTTTGCTGCAGGTGACTGTTTAAAGGTAAGGTTTTTTTTCCCTGTGCAAGGAGACAGAGCCCTGCTTGGGACACAATTCTGCTTATGTGCTTGTATGAAGGACCAAATCTGAAAGAAACGTCTGGACTCTCAGCGTCATGGCTTTCTTCTCCTTGTTAATTAGCAAATAGAGCATGAAAAATGTACTGAGGTTGTATGTGTCTGAACGAAAGCTTGGCACCCACCCAACAAAGCCTCTCCTCCCACTGGCTTCTGCAGGGAATTTTGTGATGTCGCACCATGACCTCATGCTGCTGTAGCCAGCATGTTAAAGCTGGAAAGGGAGAGGGAGGAAGAAATTAGCTCTTAAACATTCAACTGACTGAGAATAAAAAGAATTCAAAAGATTGTGTACCACCAGATTGGTTCCTTTCTGTGCTTTTGCCCCACTCTGGGGATGTTTTTTGCCTGTGAAGCAAGAAGATTGATCGGTCTCTTCCTTTACAGCAAGGATGACCTTTCTTGTGCCTCAAGTGTTTTACTTAGTTCTCTACAGATGTTTGTCTTCCAGAAAGGAGAAGTAGACAAATCCTGCAGGGCAACATTTCTGCTTTTATGATAATTGGTGAAGGCCCTTTCCAAAGCTACTGATTATGGCAAGGGTTTTCTAAACCTGGAGGGATCCTGTTTGCTTGTTTTTGCTGAATATGTAGTTGAATTAACCAATAAACATATGCTTGGCTTCCTCCTCTAATCAACGGGTGATTGATATCCTGGCAAACATAATCCTCAATTACTGAATGTTGGCAGAGAAACTGTCCCATCCCAGAGGTGTCTGTGTTTTTAAATACCTGTAGTAAGGAAGTAGTTCCTATTTTAGTGTGAAGTGTACTCAAGAATCTTTATAGGATAAAGAAATATGGAAAGAATCTGTTATGTGGCCTCAGGTACGTGACAAGGATTGAACTCTTCAGTGCAAGGCGCTTGCTTTCTGTAAAGATGTTGCCAAGGGCACAGAAGGAAATTATTCCTTCACAGAAATGTTTTCTTGACAATAATTGTTCTTTAGAGGCTTTAAGAGTGCATATTAGTAGTCCATTTTCCTACAGGAGGTTTGGGTATTGTCTCTAAGTGCTGTTCAGTCATTGCCCCAGTTAACATCTTCCTCTTTTGCGATGGATGAAGTCAATTCTGGTAGTTTGCACTTTAGTAAGCTCCTAAAAGCTTGTACCTCATCCTGGAGAAACTACTCAGAAATAGTGTGTATGTGAGGTGGTGGGGTGGGGAAAGTTATTTCCCTGAGAATGATATGAAGTGAATTAGAGAATATATTGTCTTGAAGCTGTAGACATCCAGTTTCTTCAGCCTGATGCCCACCATGCCATGCAAAATTACCTGTCTCTGCTAAGTTTCTGCTATTGCAAATGTGTCCAATGAAGTATAATTACCAGGTGGAGTCTTTTCTCTTCCATGGAAGTGTTTTCTTTGTCTCAATGATGGATTTTGGTGCAGTTCTTCTGGAAGTGCAGTTCACCTGGAAGACTGGTAGCCCAGTGCTTCATCTGAGCAAAGCTGAAGGCCAGAATACTGAGCAGAGTTAGGGATGTTCAAGAAAGGCTTTTCAGTGTCAAGGAGGAGGTTCTATGTGGTGGGTTCCTTGAGAAGTCTTATTTGAAAGGCTGTATAAATTGTACACTACCAAGATTACCTTTCTAGCTTTATGTCTGTGATGAGATTTCATTCAAAGTGTATGCACAGCACTGGGAATTTCACACCCATCATTAGAAGCAGTTTTGTGTGTGTGTGGTGACTGTTATCATTAGTGGTATAATTTTATTTTGTGAAGCGAGGAGAGTTTCATGCTTTCTTGCAGTCCTCCCGAGGGACAGCTGGTGTATTAATTTGCTGTATTGCCTCCTGGCTGTTCCCAGGCTGTTTTTCCTCTTCATCATGGAATTTTTAATGGCTCTGCTGCCTCTTGGGAGGCATGCAAGGAAGAGTACCGCAGGGATCTCTTCCTTTTTTCACATGACTATAATTACTCTCCTTTAAGAGCACAAAGCATTTGCTAATCGTGTCTTGTCTGTTAAGGTTTCAGCTTCATGATACGGGCTGTTAAAAGCAAGCAAGTAGAGACTTGCCTGGACAGCCCAAGTGATCCTTCCCCTCTTTCCCCTCTGCCTCTCTGGGAGAAAGGAGTGGTCTGAAAGGAATTTTCTTCTTGAACTCCTTCTACTTAAGAGGATTTTGCACTGGCTGAAGCAGAATATTTTATTAGATTTTGGTTATTCAATGGCTCTATCGGTAGCAAGATGTTACAGGTTGTTAGCTGGTGGAATGTTATTCCCTCAAGCAGGGTAAGGTAAGCGTTTCAGAAGAGCCTAGAGCCAATGTTGCCTTCAATTTGAGTTTGAGGTAGAAGATAAATTGTCCCTAATGCCATTTATTGTTTGCCTAGCCTTGAAAATAGGGTTATGGGTGAAAAACTCAATTAAATGTTTCTGCTGGAGGTCACAGGAAAAGTGTGCCTCAGATGGCAAGTAGATGTTGAAGGTGGAGATTTGAAGAATTATGTTGGAGACACCTTGCACAATACAGATGAATCGAAGAAAAATACTTTGCATGTGCTCTCAGATAATATTAACCCTAAACCTAGAGTTTAATTTGGTTTAGAAGCAAGTCTCTTATCTTGCCTGGAACACAGGATAAAGATCTGAAGTGGTGAGTGATCATCTCCCAGTAAACTGCCAGTGACTCCATAACCTGGATTTGGTGGAGCTGTTAGAATGAAGACTTGAATGTCTCTAATTCTATCTCCCACTCTAGAAATATGCTTGTGAGAGTAAATCCTGTCCTTTCTCTTCTGCATCTGTGCAGAGATCCTGAACTTTCCACCTGTTACCCAAGCATGTGAAAGCCCAGGGATTGCCTGCATTGTCAAGCCTTTCCTGAGGCAGCTGAAGGAGTGAACGGAACTTCATGCTTTCCCACTTGACCAGACAGCGTCCAGTTCATTTCACACAACCTATCCACACATCTTCATCTTCTTGGAATTGTCTTTATGTAAATATATCTGCTATCAACTGCTTTAGGCACTTCTCTCCCTCGGTCTTTGAAACTATGTTTCCATTTAGCTGGAGCACTTTCATGTCTTCCCTTGCTAAAGCCTGGCTAATACTCCAGTTGGGGATATAGCTGAATTCTTCTGACAGGCATGCAGTGAACAGCAGCTATCAACCTAATGTCACATGCAGTTGTCTGAGGTCTAATGTTCCCATTTTGGTGAATCCTAATTCTCTGGAGTGAATCCCTTGACTTCAGGATTTGTTTACTTGCTATTGCTTTCTTTGCCTATAAAATGTGTTGCCAATATCAAATCCATGTACTCGGCAGGTCTGGCAAACATTAGGACTCTTTCTGGCAAAAATATCATGTGATTCAGTATGAAAACAGAGGATGCAGTACATGGGATCACATTGTCTACTTAGAATGCTTACATGTAAAAGTAGAAGAAAATTGCCGCTCACAGGTGGATACGAATGGAATTGCTATGTCTTACTTGGGGAACAAACTGCTGCTGCATGACCACCTGTGAGATTCAAATGATACAAGAAGTGAGCTGACCTGTAAGTGATTTTGCAATCTGAAAATGTGCTCTAGAAGCTCTCCCATGAGGCTCTGCAGGGTAGAGAAGACTCTGCTGTGCGGAGGAAGTACCTACAGTGTGATGACAGTGAGAACCACTTGCATGCATGGGAGCTTTGCATGAAGATTGGGTGAGCAACTTGTATTGATTTACACAGGTTATGAGCCGATAAGACTTCGGTGCCCGCTTGGCTCTATAGTCAAGAAGGAGGAAGAACCCTGCTTTTACTGTTAGTTTTGTGAAGCCACCATCAACAGCCTCAGGTAACACCTTAGGGTTTAGGAAAAGGCATTTTATTTGGTCTGTGTTTGCTAGGAATATGGCATCACAACAGCAACAGCTGGGTTGTGTGGAGCTTTAGCAGCAGTATCCTTGTTAGAAGGCTGTCTTTGAATATTTACTTTAACATGAGGATAATGACATCCCTTGGTTGTATGACAAAAGATTAATGGCTGCCTCTCATTTTCACTACATAATCCAAGTATTTTACTTCCTCTAAGGATGGGGTTAGAATAAAGATTGTCATGAGAGAAGCTGGCTGTTGTGTTATTACAGTGAGAGACATACTCCCTCAAAAGTGTGTGGTGTGCCTCCTGCCTCCAGGGAGGACACAGAATCTCACAGTTAACTCTGTAGGGTCTTCTCAGAGACTTTTGTTGTGAGACTGAGATGTTTTTTACCCTGAATTTTGAGAGAATGGACATCACTTTACAGTCTAGACTTGTCTTCACAGACAGTGAGGATTTCAG